ATAGGTAAATAATTAATTAATGAATAAATATCATGCATGTAAAATTACGCGTTCATTTTTAAAATTTTAAAATCACATTTATAATAATAAATTAAATTATTATTATTATTATTATTATATTTAATATTATTTATCGTGTAAGTTTAAATGATAAAAAAAAATTGATTAATCGTAATCATTATTATTATCGTATATAATAAATAATAATATAAAAAATTTAATTTTAATTAATAATTTTTAAATGCAGCCAACAGGCAAAATGCATGAATTTCATTTTAATTATTATTATTATTATTATTATTATTTAATTTTTAATACCTAATTAATTGCAAAAAAATTTATTTATATATTTAAATTGAAATATTTAAAACCTTTTATTTACATTAAAAGCTACAATTAAATTAATTTAAAATAATAAATGATAAATAAAATTTAAGTTTAACGTACAAATAAATTTAAAAAAATAAAAATAACAAATTTAATAAAAATATTTTATAAAAAATAAAAATTTATTTAACTTAAAAAAATTATTTAGCAGTTACCTTTATTGATTTATGCTTTATTTAGGCCCTGAAAACTATATAAATGTATATGTAATACTGATTCGTTAATATTCATTGCACGTAAAATAACTTTTTAAATGCCTTTGGAATAAAAATAAAATAAACTTAAATAATTTGATGTGAAAAAAATATTATTAAATACATAATAAATGCATTAAAATTTCTCTTTACGGATCAACATTTTAAATCCTTATAACCTTTTATTCTAATGAAACCCGTATTGAAAACAACGGAATCGTTCATTTCGTTTATGGCTAGTGATAATATTTTTTCCGCCGAGAGAGGATGCCAAACTCCAAACGTGCAACTGTCATCTTCGAAATCTTCGAAATAGTGACATTTTTTCGTAAGGCGAGTAGAAGGTACGAATTCGAAAAAGTCTATTGTATCACAGTAGGGCATGAGCAATGCTAAACCTAAAAATCCAGACGATGGTGGATTTTTACGAATTCTCATAGACGTTAACTTTGTAAAAAATCCCAAACTCTCCATATGGATCTCGGATCTAATATAAACGAATTTTTTTTTGTATTGATGCGTTTTTGCTTTTCCCACCGTTCGAAAAAATTAAAATCCGGTTTTTCATACCACTGAAAATTTTTAAATAATTTTAAAATGGCGAAATTTATTTTTAGAAAAAACCATTCGATCAATTATGACTTTTCATTGAAATTTTACTCACCTCTTGAAGAGTGGCGGAGTAATTACTGGGATCCCAAACGACCAATGTGACATTTTTGTACAAAGAACTCGTTGTAAAATTAAATTCTTTTTTAGACACGACCTGAGAATTTACGAGTCTTACTGTAGTTTTAGATCCCACGTCTTCTTCGTACGTTACAGTGGGAGCATGATTGAAACGAACGACGATTTCATGTTGGTCTTAAATAAAAACAAACTTGATTTAATTCATAGTAAGTCACATGGAATGCGCATCGAACTTACTGTTTTACCGATTAAATGCCCAAGTTTCGAATTCAAAAGAGATCCAGCACTGCTGACGATCGCACACGTTTTATATTGCATCCCCTCCAAAAACTCTTCCTCTTTTTCATTTTTATCATTTCGTAAATTGTTTAAGGTTTTAAAGGATAAATCTTTTTTCGTTAATAAACGCAATTCACTTTTTTTCAATCTGCACTTAATGTCATTCGAACTTAACATTTGATATCTTTCTCTTGGTCCGTTATAATGAACGAAATACGGATTATCCATTTTGAATGCGTTGCTTTCTTCGTGAAGAACTCTTCTCAATTGTATGAATAATTTATTTTTAAATTTTTCCAACCGATCATTATGCGACTCACTGCTGCAATTAACATTGTTATTACAGGGTCTCGTGGTCCTACGCCTAAATCTGCTATACTTTTTTAAAACTGCCACATATTTATTATTGCTTGCGATAACGTTCACGCCATTCGACGACTCATTTTTAGTCTCGTAAAAAACAACGTGATTCATTTTGTCGAATTTTAATAATTTTTTATCAAGTATCGGTTGAATGGTTTCCTTCGTTTGACCGCACCAGTATGTGGAAACAATTAAATATATGTAGCAACCCATGCTCATAAATGCCAGATTGAAAAAAATCCAAACTAAAAAGGCCACCGTTTTCATATCACTCGTTTTAATCATGTCATTTTATTCAGTCTATTACTATTAGAAATAATCCAATGCTTAAAAAATAAATTATAATTAATTAAAAGTTATTAAAAATATTTTTTGTAAATTAAAAATACGGTTAAATATTATTACTTTTATTTAAACAGATAGACTCGATTTCCATTTTGTTAAAAAATACAATCATGCGCCATACTTTTTTTTGTATAGTATTGATTTTTCAATTTACCGGCAATTTTTTTTTTTTTTTTTTTGAAAAATATATTTCATTAATAAGTTGACAATTTTTTTTTTTTTTTATTTAATTTTGACTTTAATTGCCGACGTTGCTTTATATAAATTATTGTTTTCCCTGGTAGTATTAAACGTTTTTCCAATAATTTATTTTACTTTTATGCATTTCAATAATATTTTATTTTATAATTAAGAATAAATTTTTACTATTGACTTTATTCTTTTTTACGTGTGAAACAATTTTCTGTTAAATAAATTTACAATTTAATACGACGCATATTTTTATTTTTGATAGTTATGTAAATAAATTATTTAAATATTAATTTTAAATCGACGGTAGAAACATTTTCCAATTAAAGCTTTTAATGTAGTTTTCAATTTTTTTTTATTTATGCGTTTTCTTTTATACAAGACTCGATCCATTTTTCATTAACCACGTGAAATTTTCTTTTTCTTTTATGATTTTCATTATTTATTTCGTTTATTCTAGACGAATCGCTAAGAGAAATTAATCAGATTTTTTTATATTTAAAAACAATTTTGTATTTTTTATATTCCGGTGCGAAAATGAGTTTAAAAAAAAAAAAAAAAAAAAAAACGACTTACCTACTTAAAGTTATCACATGCGTGACCGTACTATCGTCGATAGCATCTGAACATTTTCCTCCGTAAAATCGAAAATCAATTTTAAATAAATCTAAATCGCTTGAAAATTTGCTACTCGAATCTGACACTATTTTAAATTGATCGAAATAACCGACATGATTTCTAAAAATGCTATAAGGACTCGTTTTTCCGAATAAATTTACATCCATTTCGTAAATTTCATCACTTGTGAGAACGATATTTTTCCCCTAAAAATATTATTTCGTGTTTTAGTGCTAAGTAATAAATCAAAGTTTTGATAGCAAACATTTATTATCCCTTACTTCTTGACTGGCCGCATTTAGAGAATGTTTAATGGCATCAAAAGTTGATTTTTTCGTAAAATGATCTCCGTACTTATCGTACGATTTACTAAATTCTTCTTTAGTTCCTTTCGACATGGCTAAAAAGTGTTCGGGTTTTAATTTTGGCATTTTTACATTTTCTATTTTCAAAAAAGAAAAAAAACAGGAAGAATAGAGTATGTCGTAGGATCCGCATTTAATAATATTTTTTATCCTCGTGTGATTATCACTTTCGGCTAAAATGCAAAAAGTATTTTTCCCTGCAAAAAAAAAAAAAAAAAAAAAAAAAAAAATTAAAAAAAATTATTTTAAATAAAAATTACTTTTTATAACAAAAAAAAAAAAAAAAAAAAATTTTTTTCTATATACCTGGATTTTTAACCAATTTTCCTCCAAACTCGACGACTTTCTTTTCCAAATCCAATTTCTTAATATTTTTAAAACCGCTAAACACGCATATTTCTTTGCCTTGAAGAAGTTTTGAAATGCATTTAATGCCGGAAAAATCGAAATTTTCAGAATTGATATTCCAAATAGACGTTTTCGCCTTTTTTTTCGGTAAAAAACTAGGAATGTTTGATTGGCTAAAATGGGAAGCCGTTAATTTTCCTGATGCAATCTGCAAAGTTTAATTTATTATAAATCAAATTTTTTAAATCAATTTAGTTCTGTTAATTTACAAAAATGCTGGTGGTAATTATATAACGTACCTTGGCTATTTCTTCTAGATTATGTAAAGTTAAACACTCTTTCCATGTTTTGTCGTACCTTATTTTTTCAACCCTGGGAAACCGTAGTGCGTACCCTGATTTGAAAATAGCACTGGATACGATTTCCGAAGCTTTAATCTAAAAAAAACAATTACATTCCATTACAATAAAATTTATTTTATTTTAAAATAATTCAAATTAAAAACTTGAAAAAAAATTTACTTCTAAAATATATGATTTATCAGGTTTGATCCAAACGTCTGGTTTTTCCTTGCCCCACTTTACACTTAATGGCATGCGATCGTTTTTTGCTTCTTTCCAATATGGCTTCAGTTTAAGAGAAAGATCTTCGAGATCTTTTATTGAATAACCGGATCCTACTCGCCCAGTAGAATAAAATAAAATATTATCGTCCGAAACATTTACGGCTGCACCGAGTAAGAAGTGATTAACGCTTCCTTTAAGATGACCTCTTCCGTAATAGCCACCAATAATTAAAAGATCTAAAGTTTCCGCCAAACCATCCGTGTACTATTGGAATAAAAAAATGAGTAAAAGTAAGCAATTGTATTTAGGTTCGTTAAATAAATTTGAAAAGATTGCATTAATCGTAAAATTTAAAGAGCAACAACCGAAAACTTTTTTGTTTCAATAAAACATTGGTTTTAGATTAGTTAATATTAACAAACAATACCTCCGGTTTTATTTTATACCATCCGCCATTTTTTCGAACATTTGGTTTGTAAACTGACATGGATTCTTTCATAACAATTCCTTCTTCCCTATTATCGATGGCTTCATTCAATGAATCAATGACTTCTGAATTAGACGAAATTTGTTTTCTATTTAAAATAATTATGGTTCCTTCTTCCGGTTCGATTATTTTTTCCAGAATTTCTAAACGGGCAATCAGGGGTTTATTCGTTAATACTTCACCATTGTATAATAATATGTCAAACACGCAAAAACAAGATTGATAATGATTTCCTTCTTTCAAATTTTTTACATCTAAATTTTTGCCTACGATTTAAAAAATAATAAAATTTAATATATTGCATTCATTTTTATAAAAAAAAAAAAAAAAAAAAAACTGAAAATGAAAACCTTTGGAACTAAAAGATCGCGTTATTCTGTCCCAACTCATCATTTCACCATCTAAAACGAAAGATTTCACGTGAGGAGGAATTCTTTTAAAAATACGAGGACTTAAATTTCCCTCGCGTTTGGAACTTCCAAAATTTGTAGTAAAATCGTATCCATTCCTGCATAATAAAATTAAATATTTATTACCGAAGAATTTTTTTTCGAAGATATAACGAAGAATTAAGAGAGAATATGTAAAACCTGGAAAAATATTTAAAATTTCCTTCTTCGAAGTGAAGTTGAAACCTTTCACCATCTAATTTAGTTTCAATAAAAAAATGACAAGAGCGTTTTAAATAATAATCTATTTTCTGAATATCACATTCTTCGGAAAGCATCGGTTTAAAAGGAGTAAACAACTGTATTTGAATTTCATTAAGGCGAATTTCGGGATCATTTAGGAGGTCGCATATTTTTCTCAAACTGTTACTGGAATCGTATAGTTCTCTAGCATCCGGATGATAGCACTTAAAAATAACATTTTCGCTCAGTCCCAATTTAACATCTTTGAGGAGAATTCGAATTAGCCATTTTTGTTCTTCTGCATTTGTTGATTTTAGCAATGATATAAGTTCAGCATCAACATTTCCTGCGAATGAATAATATTTATCGAGTCACTTAAAATTTAAATATAATAAATGAAATGTAATTCCAAAGCTGTTTCTTTTTTTTAAATTTAAACAAATCATTACGGGGTTCATTTGCTGCATGACTGGTTGATATTTTATCCAAATGTTTGTTTACTTCTTCCACCGATAATTGTCCTCCTTCTGCACAACGATTTCGTAATATACAAAATGCAATACTGGCAAAATCACAATTATTAAAATATGAAGTTTTTGGATTTCTTGTTTAAAAAAAAAAGAAAAAAAAAAAAGAAAAAAATGAGAATTACACAAAAATGTGTTTTAAGCTTTCCATTGAAAAATTACTAAAATTTTTTTTTACTTGCAATTTAACAATTTTAAAGCATCTTCTCCATCTTTTGGTAATGATAAAATGGAAATGTAAATTTTTGCAAGCGTTCGTTCTTTTATACCGTAAGCCCCCCTTTCTCTGTCTAAATGAGGTATTAATAACCTAAAAATTGGGAAAAAACTATCATCCTGAAAAAAAAAAAAATAGGAAATTTAAAAATCAAAAAAGTTTTTTTTTTTTTTTTTAAATAAAACAAAAAATAACTCTTACTAAATTCAATCCATCGCTTTCAATATCTTTGGCTTTTTTTTTCCAATTACTTATATAATTACGAAGAATAATAATTTTTTTTTCATGATCAGCTGATTTTATTTTACTGCATAATTGACAAAAATTTCCAAAAGAAATTTTCTTAGCCAAACTCATTAGCATTTTTAGTAGTAGTAGTAGTAGTAGCAGGAAATAAAATATGTGTAAAAATGGATGGAATGGTGAAAAAATCTGAAATAATCTGTAAGAATAACAAAATTTCTAGAATTTTCTTTTTCTTACTTAAAAAAAAAAAAATTAAAAAACATATATACACGAATATATAAAGTACACAGATAAATAAAATATTACATTTAAAAAAATTTAAATCACTATGTATTTTTCTATATAATGTCGAGCTAATTCCAATGAACCAGAGTTTTGGTATATTAAAGAAATATTAAAAGCTATTTCTCTTTTAAGATCAAATTTGGCTCCATGGTTTTCAGCTACCTTGCTCACTGTATTCAAAGCTTTTTTGTAATGAAACAAAGCAGCTGGATAAAGTCCGAGTTGATGAAACAACCTTCCCATGTTATAATGTATTTCTTGAGAATTATATTCTCCCCTTTGCTCTTTGTACTGCCACAGAAATGCAATGCACTGAGTAATAAGTAAATTTTTTTTTTCAGTGAATTTTTGACACGACATTTGTAGAAGAGTAAGAGATATCATAAAAGCTAATATTCCTGAAGGATCTTGCCTATAAACAGACATGTATTCACTTAATGAATATTTATATGTTCCACTGACAAAACAATTGTTGGCATATAACATTATTAAAGCAGGATGGGTAGGCTTTCTGGACAACTGTCTCATAATAAATCTGTAGTGGCGAGAATCTTCAGCATCTAAAAGCATTAGATTAAATAAGTTCCAAGCCTTTGTTGAACCATTGTTTAGAATGATATCCCTGGAAAAATTATATCCATGAAAAGAATCTTTATTGTAAAAACAAGAAAGAAGAGCCAAGAAAAATACATCAGATTCTTTTTTTTCGTTACTGTTAAGAACAGGAGATCCAAGTGCTGAAAAAGTAAGTCTTTGTAATAGGGCAAACTGTTTTGTTTCATAGGCTGTTTTACACAAAGACAAAAATATAGTCCATTCTTCATCTGAAGTGGGTAATCTTTTCCCTTCAACAAGTTCTGGACCCTCTACCTTAACTGCATCATTACTTCTTTTCATTGCTTCTTGTTTTTTAGCATATCCTTTGAGTTTTGAAAGGAGCATAAGGTCATCTTTTTTTGTTATTTTTACACAATGCCTTGATAACAGTAATCTTCCTACAGCTAAAAATTCATCAGTCCTTTCACTATAACCATTCAGTAATAAACATCTTTCATATAATAATCCAGTATCTAAGGAACCTGCTTCAGGATCTTGAGTTAAAACCGATATCGCTTCATCACTTCTGCCTAATTCGTTTAATAATTGAGATACCATTAATCTTGCTTCCACATGTTTTGGAGCTTGCTGCATAACCATCAAATATGCTGATACAGCTTCTTCTAATCTCCCTAAATGTTTTAAACATTCAGCATAATTTAACCAAACTGCTGGTAAACTATAATTTTTGCTTTCTGTTAATAGTTTTAATAATTTTAAGGCTTCAATATGCATTCCCTCAGACATTAAAGCTTCTACGACATCAATGTATAAATCTCCACTTTGCTCAACATTTTCAAGTTCTAAAAAAGGAGCCAACAAATTATCTAACAGATGACAAGATTTTAAATGTATTAAAATAACGATTAACTTTACATGAATTTGCACAGGTATTTCTGTTGGAATATCACAAGATAGCACTCTAAAAGAAGAACAAGCTATTTGATTAGTCTCATCATCAGCTACAATATCTTCTTCTCCTTCTATTTTTACATCACAATATTTTGCTATAATTTCTAAAGCTTTCATATAATCTCTAACCATCATTAACAATTCAACATATAAATTAACATCTTCTGAAGATACCGAGTTAGGTACCTTTAAAAATGCAGTTTCCATTACTTCTTTAGCTTTTGGAATATCATTTTCTTCATGATAATAACGAGCAGCAATTTTTGCATATTCTAAGATCAAAGATCCAAACTCTGCTTTGACAGAGTCTACTAATTTATGGTAAGATTTAATAGCACTTTTTCTATCACCTTTTTGTTCCAATAACTGACATCTTATAATATGAGGATTAATATTACCAGGGTCATATTTGATGGCTCTCGAATAGCAAGTTATGGCATCTGACAAATTGTTCAATTGCAATGATCTTTCTCCTAAATTAATCCACTGCTCGCAATCTCTGGGATTTAAATGAGCTGCTATCATTGCTACTTGCAAGCTTTTTTCTTTTAAACCTTTCTCTTCGTAAATTTCGGCTAACGTTTGAAAAGGCTCTGGAGCACTAGGTACTTGTCTGATGATTTCAAGGCACATTTGTAAAGCTGATTCATGATCTCCTTTAACAAAACACATATTAGCTTGTCCCATCAAACCTTCCAAAGCGGGCGGCAATGATTTTCTTACTCGCTTCACTTTTTCTTGTATTTCATATTTTTTTTTAAAAACTTCATTTACATTATCTTCAGCATTGCTTTCAACTACAGCTTTATACTCATTAAAAGAAATGTTTCCATCTAAAAATTTACTAGCCTTTTCCTTAAAAGTTTCATCTGCTTCTCCTTCTTCGATATCACTACTGTCGTTTTCGTTTTCGGATGCAGAATCATCTTCTGACATAACAAAATCTTCGACACTTTTAGTAAATAAACTTTCAACTGGATTTTTGTGTTTTTCCTTGGCATTATCCATATTAACCAATTTATTTAAAATTTAAAAAATAACCTTAAATATTTTTAGGCATATAGAGTGTCTTACCCGTAAAAGAAAAGCGTTTACGGTAAAAATTTGTTACGAATAATTACATGCCATGCAATTATATTTGCATAGTTGGTACAACTTAAATTTTTTAAATTGCTGCTTGGTCTAGTTAACGGTTTTAAATGATTTTTAAAATTTCCGTTTTTTTTCTATTTCTTTAACTTTCGTAATGTAAAATTGATACCTGAGTTTAAAAAAAATACGTCATTTTTATTTAAAATAAAAAAATCTACAAGCGTTCACAAACATGCGCTTTATTAAATATTTAGGTACAAAAATTCAAGATAAAAAAAAAAAGTAAATGAAAAGTAACCATGTCATTAAATTTGTTTTAAAAAATAAAACGTTTAACAATTTCAAAATTTAATTCATATAATAATATATATTTTTAATTTATAAATATAAATTTTAAAATTATAAATAGATATTCCTTTATAAATATGATAAAAACTAAATAACATCTTTATAATTAGGAGCAAAAAATAAATCTGTAGTAGGATTAGAAATTTCTGATTGCTCATTAATTTCTTTTTCCAATTCATTCAAAACAATCTTTTGAAAAATAAAGCCAAATTCTTTGTTTTTCTTTTCTTTTTCACTTTGAAAAATCTTGCTAGGAATTATATTGTCTGATTTGTTCAATTCATTATTTTCAATTTCTTTTTCACACTCTGACATTTCTCTTGCGAAAAAAGTTGATTTTAATTTCGAACGCCTAGATACCTTTTCTTTTAATGATTTATTTAATCTCATTTCTAATTCTTTTTCTTCTGCTCTTCTTTCAACCGCTACAAAATATTAAAAAAAAAAAAAAATTAAAAATTGCTGCCAGTTAAATAAAAAGTTTGATGTTTTAGTGTACTGTAGTTCACATACCTAATTCATTTTCAAGACGAGTCATGTCAAATTCAGATGGATTAATTAAAGCTCTATCGATTAAACTTCTATTCAAACGTTCTTCTCTTTTAAATTTATTTTTTAATTCTAGTCGTGAGCGTTTGGGAAAATATTTTTGCATCAGTGAAAAATCAGGTCCAATTGTATTGAGAGCTTTATAAAACCTTTTGGTTTCTGAGAATAAAAAAATTAAACTAATTAGCATAAATTTTTATTGCCACTTGTCTTAACATAAATAAAATTAATACCATACCAAAATCTGTCCAATCTCTAGTTTTTCTACTTTTGCTTCTATAATAAGAAACTCTAGTTCCTTTATCTTCAAAAATTGGAACAGAATTTTTTAATAAATCTTCTCTATTTTTTTTTGCATCCGATGTTTCAATAATGACACTTTTTTCATCTAGTATAATTTCACCATTGCTGCCAATTTTTAATTGAGGGACAGGCAATCTGGAATTTTGACTATCATTTGCATCTAATGAACTTGAATCAAAGCTATTATTTAAACTCATTGGTTCATCAATATCTTCTTCTGCTAATTTTTCTTGAATTGTCTCACCTTGAAGAGCAGTTTCACATTTTTCACTTTTACTTTTGGACCTAATAAAAAATTTTGTTTATAAATTCATCATACTTTGATTTTATATGTTAGCATATTTATTTAAAAAAATAAACACCAAGTTAAACTTTAGAACATTGTTTAAAAAAAAATAAAATAATAATTTTGTCTTGCTTTTACTTACTCCATAGGATTAGTAGTTGGATTGTAAAAAATTAAATCTATCATTTTAAGAGTGCTTCTATCAGGTTTAGTTTTCTCATATTTTTTCTGAAATTCTCTCCTGGCATCAGCTAATTTTTTTGTAAAATCGCTACATTTTGCTCTTTTCCTTTTCACAGCTGTAATATTTTTCTTCGAAGAAATGATTTTATTAGCAAAAGAATCTTGAGGCTTTTCACCCATTAAATTACTTCTTAAAATATTACTTTCAAAAGTATCATTATTAGTTTGTGTAATTGGTATATTATGAGAATAATTTACTGAATTTTTTACATTCGCAATTTCTTTTTTTTTATTAATTTCTTCAGAAAGTGATTTTTCTTCTTTAGATTTCAATTCATTAAAGCTATTACCAGTATAACAATTAACCAATGTTGTTAGAATAGGCTCTGGTTCTTCAGGATCGATTTCTGTTGTTTTGTTATCCACCAATCGAGGTAAATTAACATACAAATCTGTTTGTTCTACAAGATTTTTATATAGTGAAACTTCGTTAAATTCTATATTATCATCTTTAGAAAAGTTATTGTCAGGTAATAGTAATGAAGTTGAAATAGCTGGGGGTGAAATATCTTTATCAAAATTTGAAGCTGGCAAACAAGGTACTGACTTTTCAGGTAAATTAATATCAATATTTTCATTATGGAAAAAAATTTCCGTGTTAACTAATTTTTCTGAAACATTTTCAACTTTACTATTTTCCTCTTGACATTTATTTTCCAAAATTAACGATGAAACATTACTAGAATCAGAACTATTTTCAAATCCTGAATGTAATTTTATAGAAGGTTTTTTAGAACTATTATTAAAATTGTTTGATTTTATCTTACTTTCTTTTACACTGATATTCTCATTTTGAACAACCTCTTTTGAAACTATATTATTAGGATTATTTTTCAAACAGTTATGTAAAGCTTCACAATTATTATCATTATTATTGTTTTTACTGGGTGATTTTTTTAGTTCGCAAAACTCTATATTTTCAATATCAGTTTGAACATTAGTATCACTTTTAAGATTATTACACGTAAGAACGTCATTGTTGTTTTTAACATTTGAAATTGAAATTAAATCATTTTCTAAAGTAGAATTATTTGAAGTGTTAATATCATTTACGGTCTCTTGAGTCGCAATTTTTCTTCGAACGGGCAAATTTGCCACTGCTTTTAACCGAGATCTTCTCGTGGTCATTTTTAACAGAAACTTTTTTTTGAAGTTTTCAGCAATATGTTTTTAGAAAAACAAGGGAATTTTTTAAATAACAGTGTAATTTATGACTTACACTCTGCTTCATTTAGAAAAAGTTATTATAGAAAAATATCACACTAATTCAGACTCTTTTAAAAGTTGAAAACAAATTATTTTCCACGTTTATTTACGAATTAACTTTAATTTATAACTTCGAAAAATAATTGTTTTTTAATGAAAATTAAAAATTATTGTTTTACTAATAACTAAAAATAAATTTAAAACACTTAGGTTTATTTCTATATTGAAATCTTCACTGTGATCATAACAATTATTTAAACAATAACTACCTTATGTCAAGTAAAAAAAAAACTCTGACGAAATCTATGTAAAATCATTGACTGACAAAAATTGTAAAATTATCTTGGTGCCATAGAGAGTAAGTTCTCGACTTACAGCTTTTATCTATGGCAAAAATTTGGCGGGTTAACTTAACTGACCTAAAAATGGCTGATGAAGAAAACAATTTTAAAAGTACTTTTTTCACTTTGCTTTTTTTTTTTTGTTAAATACCTTTTCTTCAATCCATTTCTTTTAAAGTCATTTTTTTTCAGATAAGGAATCAATAAACTATTGTCAAAGTGCAGTAGATTTGCAAAATTGCTTGCATTCTATTCTTGAAAAAATTTTAAAAAATGTATCGGATCAAAAATTCATTCAAATTTACAAAAATTGCTATAAAGGTTTTGAAAAAAAGAGTGATATTGATAAACCAGCATTGAGTGGATCATCGGTTGAAGCCAAAAAATACCATTCACAATTTAATTCAATGATTAAAAAAAATGTTTTTGCAGCAATTGAAGAAACCATCAATGGAATGAATAATAAATTAAAGGAACTGGAAGAATTAAAAAAAGAGCAGTCAGGAAATACTGTTTTTTGGTAAAAAAAAAAAAAAAAAAATTTAATAATGCTTTGTTATATAATTTATACAATTTAAATAGTGCTTAAATATTAAATTATTAAGAATTACATGTATTTAAAAAAAAACTAGTTTTTGTAATATTAGCTCTTAGTGAATTCATAGTATATTAGATATTACATATATAAATTTAATTAGCAGTGCACAATAATTATAGATAAATTTAGTAAATGAATAATTTTACAATTATATTTTGCGTATGGTTAATTTATTTATCATTATTTTTTAGGAGACCACCTGGAAATGCATTAAAACATATAATTCCATTTGAATATGTGAGTTTAAGCACGAAAAAAGAAGAATTAGAAAGCTGTATTAAAAGAGAACAAGAAGCCTTAAAATTGTTAAAAGCAAGATTGATGCAAAAAAGAATTAAGGCTCAACAACAGCATTTAGTGTTGTTAGAATCAGTCTCTGACATTGAAAAATCTGTTTGTAAAAATATTAATCCAGAAATTATAAATTAAATTTTTAATTTCTACGATTAATTGAGTATTTTAAACTTTTTTATTATGTCAACTAATACTTTAACAAATATTTTTTTTTAAATTCTTACTAATCTCATCTTTTTTATATACCTTAAATTTAAACATTTTATTATAAACTCTGATCAATATAATCTTAAATTTTTATTTACTAATAAATATTTTTAATTCTGTACTTATTTAAAATTTTTTTTTTTTTTTTAAATGCCCAAATATTTACAATATTTATACAAAAAATATTAACAAGTTAGAACTACAAAAATATAATTTATAATGTAAATTCTTAAAAACAGGCATTAAATACATTCTACAGGCAATTTTTTTTTTTTTATTTATGCTAAATTGGAAGAGTGTAGATTTTACCACTTATATTTTTTTATTACACATTTTATTTTAAATTAAAAAGTAATTTTACATTATTATTATTATATGTCTGAGGGATTTAATGTAATAGTCATTCAAACAATAATTCGTGAAAATAATTCCTAATGGTACCTAATTTCTAAAAATTAAGTTATTGTTGGTGCTCCATACATTTTTGTTTCATTGTTAAATAATTTAGCTTTATCAGAAAAAGGATATACTTTTGGATTTGGATATTGGGGATTTTCTACGCAGCCTTTACCAAATTTTAATTCTAAAAATTCTTTAATATTATTAGGAGCCGGTACTTCAATTCCAGCAAACTCTATAGTAGTTAATGGTATAAGATAATGTTCTGGAAATTCCATATCTTGAGGATGATCAGAAAACCAGGTTTTTTTTGTCATTATTCCATTTTTCGAATAAAATGGAAAGATATCTACATGCAAGTGGTTGTGTACACTTGCTTGAACTCTGTAAAAATCTCCTTCTTCGGGATTAGATTTTTCCCATACAAAATCCTCATTATCTACTACTGATGCATGTTCATTTTTCTGAGTTATTTGCTAGAAATAATTGAAATTATTTAGCAATTTTTAAATTTCTTTTTTTGTCACACAATCACAATTTTTACAATAATACCTTTGCTGTCTTTAAATTCACCATGTGAAGCCAAGGACATTTATCAATATCTTTCAAGTATATGCCAATATCAACATCATAATCCCAAGGTATTATATCCTTTGTTCTCATAGCTCCTAGTAGACTCCCGCCTTCTAACCAAAAAGTCACATTCCAATTTTTTAAAATTTTAAATACATGATGAACAGTTTCTCTTAAAACTCTCAAGCAGCATGGAGGAGTCCATCTTCCTTGATTTAGGTATTCAGGGATAGAATTAATAATACTTGGAAAACACCTGGGAGTATGCCTTGTACATCCGAACCATTCAATAGTTCCATCTTCTCTGTGTACTTTTTTTATCTTAAGTAACTTGTACATAATTTGCCTTTGGATTTGACTTTTGTACAATTGCTCAGAGTTTTCATTTATTTTTTTCTTGAATTTTAATTTTATCTGTCTAATTAGATTTACTTTTAAATTAAGAGAAGTGGTTTGAATATAAAATGCTTCTGGAAAAGGTAAAAGAAAAGGTTCTCCGATTTTAAATAAAGTTTTTGTATGCAGTAGTAAACCATGTTGTCCTTTAATACTACTACATTCCGATTTGTTATTGCTTATTTTATACGATATTATCCATTGTAATAAATTAAGTTCTAACTTCAAACATTTAATGACTTCTGTATGAGTTGGTACAGCAATTAAAGTATTTTCATTTTTATTCAAAACTTTGATTAAAAACAAAGCTTCATGCTCTAAAATTGAAATGGTTCCTATTGGTGCTATAAATACATACTTTGTCTTAATGTATTTAGCAACACTTCTATCTACTATTAAATTTAATAAATCCAATTTTAAAGGAATGTTAATTATATTACTATTATTTGAAACAATATGATAAATTTCTTTAGGTATAACAGTGTCACTAACTATTATGATTGTTATAGAAGGAAAAACTGACAGGAATGAATTTATCGTAGTGGCAACCTGTTTAGGTGAATGATCATTATACCTTAATAATAAAGTGATTTCCTGTAGGTAATCAATTGTTTTATTAACTGTAAATATAAAGTTTTTTAACGTTGAAGTTGACTGGTTGTTAACTGACCGCCCAATATATCGAATTTTCATTACCACGACGAAAACCGAAATAAATAATATAAAACATAAACAGCATTTTATTTTGAATTTCATAACTGAGACATATAATTTATAAGTAAATTAGCAAAAAATCCAACTGGCAACATTAAAAGTGGATTAGTATTAACTTTTTTGAAATATAATTTACTGAATAAAAACAGAATTTTAGCCAATTTAAAAAATTAACATCGTATTTTTGTAAATAGTACCTCTTTTGCAAGTAATGTAAATTCATTATAAAAGTTTAAAAATTGAATATTTCTTTACAAAATAAAAATAAAAATTAATATTGATGTAGAATTTTTTTAAAAAGCGATTTTCTGTCAAATTGAGCAGTTCAAAGACTACAAGCTGCCAACTGATATTTAAATGTAAACTTTTTATATCAATATTTTCATACTAATAATTTTTTTATTTTCGTTTTATTAAAAAAAAATTATTTTCAGGTAAATTAAAATATTTTAATTATGTTAATTTTGCACTTAAGTGTTTTTAATTAAAAAATTGCACATTCAAATTATTATTTTAAAAGAAATAGTTTAGTATTTGAGTTTTCAATTTTGACTTTAACTTTGAGTTCATTAGGTTATATATTATAATCAATGTCTTTAACTCGTTTTATCTCTTTTATTAATTGCATTATTTTATATTCTTCACAAGACAATACAAAAAGAGCTCGTTGTTTATTCCAAAGACAATTTTCTATACGATAACTTAATTTCTACAAAAGTAAAAAAGAAAGAAAATATTAAATATTTTAAAACTGTCAATCTAAAAAAAAAAAATCAATTTTGTATCATAAACTTTTCAATATTTTATTTTATTTAAAAGTTACTGTAGTTTTTTTTTTAATATTTTCCAATTTTGAAATTAACATGGCCTGCTTAATTTTTTCTTGGTCAATGGCCGTTTCTAAATAATTCAAATTTAATTTTATGTCAACTTGTTCTTTCATATTTTGAGTTTTGTATTTTTTAAAGTAATTCTTTTTTTGTATTTTTAACTGGAATGGTTTAGTAATAATTTTCTTAAATTTTGACGATAGGTAAAATAATAGTGGTAAAGGTTGTCGAACTTAAATATTAATTTAAATTTAACAAATGACGCCTTCGACATAGAAGCCAGGCAAGCAGCGCTTTCATCTCTTCTACTGGACAACATTGTAACTATAAATTTCCTTTCTTGGCGCCATCTTGTTCTAAAATTGTACATGGAATCTGTTTGCATTTTTTAATAATTGTGACAATCCTTGAAATTTTTAATTGTCTTACATACACAGGTAAGAAAAATTTGTATATAGTAGCTTATTTATTTTTAAATTATGTCATTAAGTTATTTTTTATTGTTAAATTTTCTTTGTATGCAATTATGAGATAGCATCATAGTTAATTTAACCACGCCATGAAGCATCGTAGTTTTTGTAAAAATACTTTTTAATAAGCTGAATGTTTAATTTACATGTACCTTTTTTACCTATGATATATTTTATTTTATCTTTTAATTTTACATTGATTTATTTAGTATTTTGGGGTTTGTTCTTAAGTTGACTTTCAAAGGCGTCATTTTTCAAGGACAATAGCGGCTAGGCTTAGGTATTCTATAAAGATCCTACACCTATTAATTTTTCAGAAATTATTCTTTCCTTTTATAATTATAAAACTTACTTCTTGAGTTTTTTGCAGTGTAGTTTTAATGTAATATTGGATGATGTAGGGTTTTACAGAAATTTTTGATAAGCTTTTATTCCATCTTATTCTAATGTATGGTAGTTTTTATAAAAATTAACTTATACCCTTAATAGAATGCCATTCTGTTTTTCTATGATTAATAGATCATATTAAAATTGAACTTAAAATAAATGTTTATATTGACAATTTTGAATTTGAGACCTTATTCTTATTGTTGATTATTATTCTTATTGCATTATTATTCTAAACACTAAACGATACATGAATCTTGAAATCAATTTGTAAATTACCTTTACTGTTTTTAATTTATTAAAAATGTAAACACATATTTAATAAACTTTGATGTTGAATTAGTTTCAATGGTATTAGGCAAATTTTGATACTATATAACTATTTTATTTAAAAAATTATTGAATAAAAGTAATGTTAAGTAATAATTTCTTCGAAATTTAAGAAATGCGTAGTTTATATAAAAATATAATTTGATTTCTAGTTTGATAATAATTATTTAATTAAATGGGCATTCGAAAATTGTTTGCAATATTGAGAAGAAAAAAAAATTACAATTTTTTGTTTTATATTTATATTTCTTTTAAGTAAATAATGTCATTGTAGTTTTTCAAAGTCTAAAGTTCTTGTGTTCGTAGTAATTATTTACCTGAAATGTATATGTGTAATGCAATTTCGAAAAATTGTATTTTAAGATATTCTTGTTCTTTTTCCAACCTATTGAAAATAAAAAACTTTTTTTGAAATATTTAAGAATTTATTTGATGTATTAGTAAGTAGTAGACTTTATGTAATTTCAAAATAAAAAGGGGGTGTATTTTATTCAAACCCCGTTGTTAAAAGCAGTTCATTTATTAAAAAATTTAATATTAAAAAAGGAAGAAAAAAAAAAAAAACAAAGTTATTAATAAAATATTTAAAAATTCGTAGAATTTTCAATTGTTAAGAATTGTAAAACTTCCAATAGTCTTAATAAAAAATGCATGACCATAACTGCCCATCTTTTTCAAGTGAAATAAATGACCTGATATTATTATTTTCTTTAGATGTGTTTAACTAAATGAATATTTGTGATGGCAACCCAAATTTTCTTAGCAACGACTTCGTTATTTATTTACTTTCTTCTAATTTCCAGTTTTTGTAAAATGGCTCAAACTATAAAAAAAAAAATAAAATAAAAGTATAATTCTTGAAACTTATTGTATTATTATAAAAAAAAAAAAAAAAAAAAAAAAAGGACCTTGGTGATAAACGCTTTTTAATTTTAATAATCTAATTTTAAATTTATTTAATTCTCTTAGGGAGGGCTTAACAAAATCCTTTGCCTTTTTTTTTTTTGTAAATTATTAATACTTTTGAGTAACATATAGTAATAATAATAACTTTTAGATAGAAATAAAATTTTTTCAATTTTTTAAATTTATAAATATAAATTTTCAATTATTTGCAAACAAATAACAAAACATTCTATAATAGTCTTCTTTAACTATTATTTTGAAAATTATATTTATTACTCAAAATAAAATAATTTTTTAGTATTATTTATATTATATATTTCAATAATTTGGTTATGCATTTGATAATAAAAAAAAAAACTCGGACAAAATTTTCAAACATGAATTTTGAACATTAATGTTAGGTAAAAAGTATTTTTTGACATTAGTAAATTTTGGTTGTTTTTTAGTTTTAGCTTTTAGTAGCTTTAAAAAAAAAAAAACTCTTTAGAATTTTAAGATTTTATTTTAGTTAATTTGATGTTTAATTTATATTGTCATTAAATATGCCCAGGTGAATACATTTGTTAATTCTGTAATAATTGATGAGTTGATTGTCATGAAATATGAAAAATGTGTGTTTGACTTAATGTGGATTTGGGATAATGTGGAGTTGGGGATTGAGTTTGCGGTTGTTTGAAATGGTGGTTTCTATAGGAACAGGGTACACTCCGCACGCGAACAGGTCATCAAAACAAGACTTTTCCACCTATGGGACTAAGTAACCCCAGAGACATTTTTTTTTTTTTTTTTTTTTTTTTTTTTTTACATTAATATAATTCGATTCTATTTGAAATTAGACTTAAACCAATATATGTTTTCATGATGAAAAAATAACCCATTTAGGCCACGACGTGAGTTTAAAACTCACCAAAGTTAAAGAAGAGTATAAATTTATGATTTTTCAATTTTACTTTTTGTTATATTATAAAAAAAAAATAATTGACTAGTTGGTAATATTAAAGTTCCTAATTATTTTTAATAATTTTTTATTTCATTAAATAAAAATAAAAACTGAAACAAAAATTATCAAAAAAAAGTAGTTAAAAGTTAGTCAGGTAAAATTATTATTTTTTTTTTAAATTGATTTTAATTTTAAGTTAAAAGGAACCAAAGTATTTTCAATTGTGTTTTATGTGGGTTACGTAGAAAAAAATTTATTTTATAGTATTGTTATTACGTAGATTTAGGAAAAAAATTTATTTTTTATTGACTAAATAATTAACTGTGTAAACACATTTTTATTTTTATTAAATCCGCGTTAATGTTAATCACATAGAGATAATGTAGGTTTATATATAAATATATGTAAATTGACGCAACTGCATTTTAAACTAACTGGTGAGCATGAATTAAACATTAAGTTTTAGAAAGTGCTACTAAAAATTTTTTTCTATGCCAAAGTCAAACCAGTGTGTGTTTTCAAGGAAAAAAAAAAAATGAAAAGCAGCGTGTACACTTTTTAATTTTTAAAATATGTAATTATTGGTTGGTTGAGATACATGGAAATTATTGAACAATGTCGCATCATCTTGTCCGTCAAATTGACGTCAATGTCGATTTGTTTGGAATCAGAATATGTTGCCATGGCATCTTTGGGTTTATAGTTTGCCTAGCAATCAATGAATGACTTGCATGCTATGACAAAATCTAAAAGTTGATGGCTTTAAATGTTTGTCTGGGGCAACCAGGTTAATACTGATAGTAATAATTATTTATATATGTATGCGCGCGTGTGTGTGTGTGTGTGTATGTATGTATGCAAATAGTAATGTAGTATCATTATTCCCAAACATACGAATTTACATTGGCAAAAGGTTTTCTTGTTCATTTTACGTTTGTATCCTTTATTAAAATTTAGAAGCGATAATTTTTAACTGTTCTGTAAAATTAACCCAAAATATTTTATTTAGTTGTAACCATGAAGTTATTAGTAAATTTTTTTTATGACAATGACCGAACTGCAGAGTTTCGTTCCTGGTCATTTCAATCTTTCAATTTAAAAAAAAAAAAAAAAAAAAAAAAAATTATTCTTACAAAAAAAAAAAAAAATTGTTTTATCATGTAATTACTTAAAAATTTAACAGAGAGAATCACGAATTAATTGCTACACGAAGGTTTTTTTTTTTTTTTTAAAGGTCCTTTAAAAATTAAATACATTTCTTATTAATACTTTTTGATTTTCGTGTGCGTTGTTAAGCTAAAAAAAAAAAAAAAAAAAAGAGCACGATAACTTTTCTTTTTTTTTTTTTTGTTTTTAAAAAAAAAAAAGTCGGGAGAATACGCCTTTCAATTTCTTAATGTATTTTTCATCGACCTGTATTACCTTGTTTAAACATCTCTAATCGCACGGACACGTGATATATATTTTCTTGTAATAATTTTTTTTAAATTTAATGAATTCGCACTAAAAGACAAAATTTTTTTAGGACAATGTCATAAACTCCTCAAAAAATTAATTTTTACGTTTATGCACAAAACAAGACTTGAAAAAAAAAAAAAGTCCAGAAGATTTTCTAATGATTGAAAATTACCTAATCGATAGTTTTATTAATATTGTAATATACACAATAATTAACTTTAATTATATTTATAACCAATTAATTAATACGTAATTTTAAAAAAAAACGTATTTAATAACTTATTATTATTATTCGGTAAAGCAAAAAAAAAAAAAAAGTTAGTATTAAAAGCATGTAAAATGAAATTTCGTTTTGTAAAACTTTTTTTGAATGTATATAATTTTTTTTTTTTTTTTTCATATTATTTTCATTACTTTTAAAAAGGAAAGGGAGCAATTAGTTTTTAAGCCTAAAAAAAAAAAAAAAAAAAAAAAACGGTACAAAAATAAAAATGAATAAATGTTTGTAAGTTATTTCAATTAAGTATTTTCAAATTCAGGGGGGAAAAAAAAAAAAAAAAAAAATTATTTTTTTATAGCGTGAAAAAACACGTGAATAGCAAAGGGTTTAATTTAAAAGGGAAGAGAGGGAAAAAAAAATGAAAGCATTATATTCCCATGATTGGTGGTCGGACACGCGCACTTTGCTGGGGAAAATTTTTAAAAAATAGTAGTTTTATAAAGAAAAGGTTCGAACAGTCGAGAATAATTTGTTAGAATGGGAACAAGGTTTTTTTTTTTTTTTTTTTTTTTTTTTTTTTTTATATCGGTTATTAACTGAATGTGTAATAATGTCGCGTTAATTTATTTTTAATTAACCCGGCTTTTACAAGGTTTGTAGGTTTTAACAACAAACACTTTTTTCTTTTTTTTATTGATTTTATTAAATGTATTAATGGTTCATTTTGTTATTTTACGTAATTTTACCAATTGTTACATTTGAAAGGATATTTTTTTTAATTGAAAAAATAACTCGCAAAGTAATTTTATTTCCATTTAAATTATTTTTAATAATTTTCGGAGAGGAATGATGATTCAAACAAACAACTTTTCTTTTCAGGTGATTATTCTTTATATATATATATATATTGGAAATCAACAGTAATCCTGTTTTAGAATTTTGAAATTGAAAACAGTAAGTGGGTTTTTTAGTGTTAAAAATATTTTTTGTATTACTCCTTGTCTTATTTTGTCTTCTTGTGTGTTTATCGAACTAACTGAATATTTTTTTATCATTATTATCTTTTTTTGCATTTTCTAAAAAGTTTAATTTTAGTTTTTTATCCTTGTATTATTATGGCACTGCTTTATAAAGTTTTAATTTTTAACGGTTTTATCAAATGCCTTGGGGGATTGCAATTTGTTTCTTTTTTTTTTTTTTTTTTTTTTTTTTTTTTTGGTTGATGATAGTAAAAAAAAAAAAAAAAAAATGTTTGCAATAACTTTATTAATTATCTTTTTATTACGAATGATTGTTTTTTTTTTTTGGGGAAAATTGCATGATTGATTTAATATTATGTATTACTTATTAGGTTAGCTTTTAATTTTTAGAGCCAATTTTTTCTTTTTTTTTTTTTTTTAAGTTTTTTCCCCCAATTTTTTTTTAGTATTATTGAATTGTTTGTTGTACAAAATTTTAATGTCAATTGTAATCCTACACTTCACCTACCACCGTTCCATCTGCTTTATGTTGGTTTCCTGTCACCTTGCTTGCTTTTTTTTTTTATTTTTTTGACCATAATTATTATTG